GCGCGTTCGTTTCGCCAGGTGTTTCCATTTTCGCGAAATTCCGTTTTTGTATCCGTTCCTCGTTTTGCAATGTTAATTTTTGCGTGTTCGTCCGAAGCGTTTTTACTTTTAATGAGTTTCTCTTATTCGCGTAGTTTCGTATTTATTTGATCAAGCGTTAGATCTTCCGCACTTAAATCTATTGTTCGTATCGACGCCTCGAAGCTTTCTGGCAAGCCAATCAGAATGATGCCAATTTTCATTTTCTCGTCAATTTTGAATCCACGTTTATTCAACTTCTTCTGAATTTCACATTTACGGTAAATATATTCATCAATCGTTTCTGTCGCTTTCTTTTCCGAGTTAACATATTCTTTTAACAGTACATATGGCATGGAAATTGTCGATTTTGCCGTGCTCGAGAATTTTCCACATTTCGTAAGCATTTTTACATTCGTCAATTAGCGAAAGGTTTTTGTCGTCTACGTTTAAAATGATTAGCGCCCTATATTGATTATGGATCTTTTTGTTTTCGGGATTCGTTGCAAATTTCTCGTTCGTCAAAGCCTCGTCTAGGTTTTTCATTAGGTACAGCGTAACTTCGTATGCTCCACGATTGGTAATTTTCGTTATTTAATTTTGCGATGTGCTGATTTAGGTCGTTCATTTTCGTTTTAATTTGATTTTAAAGCTTGTTTCACAATTGACGCAAACGTAAACGCCAACGGAAACGCAAACGGTAACGTGAACATGAACAAATTCGCAGTCTCACAATTAACGTTACGCTAAGTTTTGTCACGGAATATTTTGTTTATTAAAATGTGTTCTGTGGTAGTTGAACTAACCTAAAAAATGGATACCGACAGCGAAACTGACGAAGTAATAGCTTATGTATTCATGTTACATATTTACGCTCTGTATTACTACATATCCAAAATGAAGAGGTAAATACATTCCATAGCATTATACCTAGATTACTAAGCAAAATCGTTCATGTTCTTGTTAGGTGGTGGGTTCGCCCCTTCAACACCCTACGGGACGAGCTGGGAGCATTTGTAAACACTTTTAAATATTTTAAAGTGCATGACCATGAAAAATTTTTTTCATATACCCGGATGTATCCTGCACAATTTGATAAATTGCTTGAATTGGTGAAGCCCAAGTTATTAAAACGAAGTCGACGTCCTGCCCTTCCTCCCGAAATGCGTTTAGCGATGACTCTTAAATACCTAGCGCACGGTGGTAGTTTTGTAAATCTTTGCTTTGAGTTTAGAGTTGGTCACTCAACTGCCTCAAAAACAATTCGGGAAACTTGTGAGGCCATTTGGGAAGTATTACATACGGAATATTTCAAAAGATCTACTGATCAAGATTGGTTAAACATCAGTGAAGAATTTTGGACACGATGGAACTTTCCGAACACACTTGGAGCGATTGATGGCAAACATGTTGCAGTACAGTGCCCCACAAATTCTGGATCTTTGTACTACAACTATAAGAAATATTATAGTATCGTACTGTTGGCCTGCTGTGATGCAGATTATAAATTCACTTGGGTAGATATAGGTGCATACGGTTCTGAAAATGATGCTGGGATTTTCAAAAGGTCACAAATAAAGATTGATATGGAAACTGTAAGCTCCAGTTTGCCTGAAGGAGAATTGAATGGGAGCTCAGCAAAGGTACCATATTACTTTGTGGGTGATGAAGCATTTCCCCTTAATCATTATCTGTTACGCCCATATCCAGGTAGCGGATTAACTAATGAACGACTTATATTTAATTATCGGTTATCGAGGGCTAGGCGTACAATCGAGAACAGTTTTGGAATTCTGGCCAGTCGATGGCGTGTATATAGACAACCTTTATTGTGTTCAGTTGAGACAAGCGAGGCCATTATAAAGGCAACCGTTTGTTTGCATAATTTTCTAAAAATAAATATTTCTGATAAATATGCACCTCCTACATTAACTGATGTAGTGTTAAATAACGGCGAAGTAGTTGAAGGGAAGTGGCGAGAAATTGTCAGCAATGACAAAAATTTAACGCGTGTTGGAAGAATTGGTGCAAATGTGTCCTCGAAGAAGGCATATAGTCAAAGAGATATTGTAGCAAAGTACCTGCTCACTCCTGAAGGATCTGTGCCTTGGCAAATGAAATATATTAATAGAGGCAAATAACATGTATTTCTATCACAAAATATGTATATAAAAATATGTATTGTATGTATGTAGTTTTATTATACTTCCGAGGTATATTTTTCCAACAGTTCCAACACTTCCCGTTTGAATTTCAGTTTTTTGGCCTGTGGAATGTGTTCCATATCAACCACTACAGATCTCAGAAAATTCATATCGGACGAATTATGTGATGCCTCAGATTCAATGCCCTTCTTTCTAGCGTTTACAAATGAGGTAAATGATTCCACAGCTTTGGTTAATGTCTCGGGGATAGATTTATTTTTCGTAGCTTTGGGAGTGGTAGTAGTGGTGCGTGGTTCAGAACTAGTAGGTGATAATAATCCGCTGTCATTGACATCATACCACCCTTCTTCAATGTCTACACTTGGGCTGCTTTGTGCGGAGAAGATTTCAGAATCTTCTGCATCTACAATGTGTTCTTCTGTATGCACTTGTGCCTGGGAAACACGCGGAGTTGCTGATATGAGTCTGGAATATAATATAAGATTAATGCACACATTTTTTATGTCAATTTAATTACAATTACCTTCTCTTTCTGATATGCGGTACAAGCCATAACAAGAGCTTGAAAAACGGAAAAGTACTTTTGGTACTTATAACATCAGCTCCTGAACCTGAAGGAGCAAGTTTTAAACTGTCCGTATGGGCTCTAACGAATCGATCCCTTAAATTGTCCCATCGCCTCTTCACTGTTTCCGCTACAAATAAGGAAAGTAAGTGCTAACAATCGTACTGTATAACTATTGATTTTACCATCACTATTCAAATGTTCTGCAATGGCTAACCATGAATTTTCTTTCATCAAGGTATCTTTAAATTCTTTTAATTTTTTGTTGTATACATTGGGATGTTTTTCTACACACATAATTAACAATTCATCGAAACCTGGATTATCGCACATCATCACAACTTATCTTTCGTTGATTCTATCACAGACTATTCTATTCAATTCAACAAACGGATAATCATGCAATACTTCGTACAAAAATAATTAAGTTTGGTCTTTAAAGGTTATGTGGCTGGATCGCAAGCGCGCGCATGTTTAAAACGCCAACGGGAACGGGAAAGATAAAAGTTGACCAACTGTCGCGTTTGTTTCACGTTTTCACGTTCCCGTTGCGTTATATGTGAATGGAAATAGTAAATATTCATGTTTTAATTAAATGCTCACGTTCACGTTCGCGTTAGCGTTCACGTTGGCGTCAATTGTGAGACAGGCTTAATATGATTTTCGTAACCGTTAATCCGTACCGTAATTCACAACCGTTCGCGAAAAATGTTTGTTTACTACGTACTACTTGTTATGCGTATTTTCGTTAACGTAAAATGTTCGTGCTCTGGGCGATAACCTATTGCGTGCGAAACATGCGTTGGATTACAATGGTGGAAATGATAAACAAACGGTTTTCTATGAATATAATAATAAACGCGTACCTACTGAGGGATGGCCATCCTAAAACTATCAAACAACCAAAATACAATATCGTTAAACTAATCAAAACACTACTTAATTGTCCTTTATACTGTTTATCCCGGCACATTGCGAAAACACCGCCTGCCCCAATCTCCTCAAGTTGCGCGTTTTTTTTAGTCTGTTTCCGCAAGTTTAAAGCCGCGCGCGCACTTCTTTTTAAATTTAATTTCGTTTTTAAAACACTTCTAGCAACATACCTATTTACCCACTTTTGCTTTCCTTTTTAGTTCACAATGAACTTATTTCTGAAGTGCCTAATTATATTCAAATTGTAATAAAATCACTTGATTCAGTTCCCTAGGGTATTATCCAAACACTTATGAATGGTTTTTCAGTTTTCGTTTAAAATCTTGTCGGAAAATAAAAAGCGAAGGCGAACTTCGACGTATTATAAAAGAATAAAAAAAGCGAATACCTTAGATATTAATATCTGTAATTCTACAAGTAGTGACAGCGAAGGGGAAGGTATAGCTTGTGAGTCACAAAATGAAGCGCAGGATGAAGTGACGCGAGCAGAAATTAAAGTAGCTGCTTTTATTGCCGAGCACAATTTACCTATGAAACTTTGCGATCATCTAGTGCCCCTTATGAAGAACATCTTTCCAGATTCTCGAATCGCTAAGGAAATTCAAATGGCACGAACCAAGTGTACCGGCGTGGTAAAAAATGTTTTGGGACAATGCTGCTTTGATGAGCTCACTGAAGAACTAAGAAAGACAAGATTTAGTTTTTTGATTGATGAGTCTACAGACATAGGTACAGTAAAGAATATGTGTGTTTGTGTGAGATACTTTTCTTTAAAGTTGAACAGAGTTACAACACGTTTTTTTAGTTTAGTCCAGTGTTTTTCTAGTAAAAATGCTGATGAAGCAAATACCGGTGCTACGGCTGAGGTAATATAAAATAAGCTTATGAATGTCTTTACATCGTCTAGGTTACCTTTAGATCATATTATAGGCTTTGGTTCGGATGGGTGCAATACAATGTTCGGCTCAAAAAATTCTGTCGTGACTCGACTAGAAATAAATTTTCCTGGTATAGTTATACAAAAATGTGTATGCCATTCGCTTTACGGACGTTTCGCCCCCGCCGTTTCGCCCCCGACCGTTTCGCCCCCGCCGTTTCATCCCCAGCCGGTTCGCCCCTAAACCGTTTCGCCCCCGAACCGTTTCGCCCCCAGAGTTGTACCCCTACATTTAACCATTTGCCCGACACGTTAAAACTGTATACTTAAACGGGCAGAACGTGCCCACTGGACCCAGTGCATTTTCATTGCTTGTATTCATCTATTAATTGCGTACCTACTGAAATTATTGAATTGTTTATAAATAAGCACAATGATCAGCAAGAATTGTAATGGCTCATATTGAAAATTTGTAATTTTGGACACCGAATATGTTGCATAATTGACACCAAACTTTAATTGCTCTGTAATCAGAGTAATTATATATTCATGACTGCGAATTTGAAAATTTTAGAAAGTGTATACACTCTTTCTAATGACTGGCCTAATGACCGAAATTAATTATGTAAACATTCTTCTCATTGTTGTACGCAAAATTTGTGATTTTAGAGAGCAAATATGCTTATAATTAATACTAAACTTTAATTTCTTTGTAATTACGTCTTCCACAACCATTAAGTACCTGAAATATTGATAATCGACATTCGAAAATGCTATAAAAGCCAGTAATAAGTATTGTCCAATCATTTGTATTGTGTGTTTCGTGACGGCTCGTTTAGTCATCTCGTATTGATAGCAATGGCGGACCACGTTTTATCAAAGCGAAATAAGAACAAACTTGTCCATGAAAACCACATTTACGTTTTCTCCAAAAAAACAAAAAATGGAGAACATGGGATATGGGTGCGCGAACTCCGATCAAGCTGCAAGGGTCGAGTATGGACAAACGGAAAAGATGGTGAAGTGGTGAAAACAGTTACGCATCATAACCATGCAGCACAAGCTGCCAGGCCAGCAGCCATTCGATTGGTTACGACGGTAAAGGAGCGTGCCGCAACGACACAGGAGAGCCCACATCAAATTATAGCAAATGTCATCCCACAAGCTCACGCAGATGTTGCTGCAATCATGCCAAAAAAGGATGCATTGAAGAAAACGATCCGCAGAGCCAGACGAGATGAAGAAGCACCTGCGCTTCCAAGAAATATGCAAGAATTGGTGATTCCCCGAGGTTTTAGTGAAATCGTTATTGATGGTGAAGTGCAACAGTTTCTAATGTACGATTCGGAGAATCAACTGATGCCAGGAAGGATCCTCATCTTTTCAACCAGAAGCAACCTTCATCTTTTGGCCCAAAGTCAAGAATGGTTTGCAGATGGCACGTTCAGTACCGCACCAGCTATTTTTGAACAACTTTACACCCTCCACGCCATCAAAAACAGTGCCGTTGTTCCGCTAGTGTACGCTCTCTTACCGAATAAAACAAGAGCTACGTATGTTACATTTTTACAACAATTGAAACGTTTGCAACCTGGACTGCAACCAACTCAACTCATGACGGATTTCGAACTCGCTGCCATGCAAGCATTTGAATTGGAGTTTCCAGGTATTTTAAAGACTGGATGTTTTTTCCATTTATCGCAATCCGTTTGGAGAAAGGTGCAAAGTGAAGGCCTCAAAGCTCGCTACGAGAATGACCATGAGTTCGCTCGATGGATTAGAATGATTCCTGCTTTGGCGTTTGTTCCTGAACATAACGTAAGCGACTCATTCACCGAATTACTTGAAACCGAAGGATTTCCTGAAGAGGCTGTACCCATAGCGAATTATTTCGAAGACACATATATTGGTCGAAGACTACGTCGTGGGCGTCAAATTCCACTATTTCCAACTCAAATTTGGAATGTTTATCAGCGCACTCTTAACGACCAACATCGCACAAATAATCACGTGGAGGGATGGCACCGCGCTTTTCAAGAAACTTGTGGGTCCCAATTTCCAAATATTTTTCGTTTTATTGAATGTTTGCGGAAGCAGCAAGGTATTCATAATTACGAAATAATACAATCCATTGCAGGAAATCAAGGAAATCCAAGAAACAAGAAGTATGTTGCAATATCAGCTCGAATCAAAAGAATCGTTGAAGATTTTGAAGATCGCCATCTTACCGATTATTTGCATGGGATAGCGTACAACTTCGAATTTTGAAATTGTTCCGATTGTACAGCGAAATA